CCCTAAAATACAATAAACTTTCTTGGCACATTTGGCATTCAGATATGCACCGGAGACGTCAGCACTCAAAACATTCAAACCATTCAAAGCAGCAATAACAAAAGCAAGTCGAATACTTTCCCTTGTCGCAACACTTGCATAGGTGACAGACATTGGAGGATCCGTTTGGTCCCCTCTAGCACATATTCGTGCCTTCCGTGTGAGATCCATCTTGACATTGAAAACAGTTATAAGCTCAATGAGCTGGTACCCAACGGGAACATCTTCATCTTCTTCCAGAATCGTCACAGCTGGTAGGATTGTCTTCACTTCTCTAATCAAGGCATCACTCCAATGTGAGGTACCATTCTCAGCATCAAGTTCATACGCACGTGCAACACCTTTGGGCCCAGGACCAGGCACTTCAATACCAAACTTTTCTGGCTTCTGTCTTTTCACAGCACGGCGCTTAACAGCTTTCCAAACTCGATCACGCTTTCTCAAAGTGTAGGAAACCCACCACGTAAAGGCAGGCTCTGACACAAGCTTGTTTGCAACAGCATATTCAGCGACCTTGATAGGAAACGCTTCTTTTGCTACTGATAGGTCAAGCCATTCGGTTTCTCCACCTTTCATTTCAGCTAATAATTTCCATCCTTTGGTTGTCTTTTGTGGACGCTTGAGACCGCTGGAGGTAGTATACCATCCATCGTCCCCTCTAACTGCTCGTCCATCACGTTGATGATCAATAAATTTGCAAATCCGGTACATCGTGTTACCTTCATTGTCGACATTCATCCTTATTCCTTCAATAATCTGATTTGCATAGAAGCTTTCCACTTTTCCATCCTCAAACTCCACTTGATAGATAGATGTGTCAAGGTGTGGATTCTCGTGGTAGTGACCAATCAGTGCTCCAGATGAGTCACACTTCCGACCTTGAACGACTCCAAAAGTCTCAACTCCATCTGCATTAGACGATACTTTTGCAGAGACATATTTGTCGAACTCAACAGGATCTGATTCTTGATCTGGCGGCTCTTCAAAATCATCTTCAATCTTGTGACGAGGATCTTCTTGTGGGTGATCTTCATATTGTGCATACTGCGGGTAACCACATCTTTGATTGCAGAGATCGGCATGTTGTATTTATGCCGAATGCGATCAAGTTCTTCTTCAGAGATAGAAACTCCATCAGCCTTCTTCTTCAGATTCTTCTTCAGGTCTTCCATAAACTCTTTCTTTTTCTCTTCCATTGGTTCACTGTTTCGCTCTTCGGCTGACAGAGGAATCACTGACATTCGTTGTAGTACTTGTCCATTGGCAATAGCAACAGCAAAACAAAGAGCTGCTCCAATAGTAAAACTTGGACCAAGCCAACGGCACAGTTGCTTCCCATCCTTGGATGAGCGATTAGGTGAAAGGCACCAACACCAATCCCAAATAGCAAAATCAACCAGGTGAGAGAAATCTTTAGTGTTGCCAGAAACAATTGTGGCTCCACATTCTCCTTCTTGTATTGCAAGTCCCAGTGCCATGTGACTGCGAATCTCAAAAGCATACATAAAAACTCGATCCCAGAACGCAATAGGGATGTTCCTTGCATGCATGAATCGACGGTAAAGTCGACTTCCTTCCCAAATTGTGTCTTCTGTCAGTGCTTGATTAGGATGATGAGGCTCAATAGGATGAATTGGCACTTGTCCTTTGATAGCAACTTCTTGGAATTTCCCTTGAGTGAGTGACTTGGCGTCGTCAGGTATGAGACATTGGGGAAAACCGAACTGACAAAATAGTTGTGTGAGGCTTGTGTGAACATCTGATTCTTTGTTCAACGGATAAGCACGAGCCCACTGTACTGGTGTAGCATAGACCGCGACGCAAGTGTTTCCTTCAGCTGACTTGCAGGGTCCAAACTTAACATCAACATAGACATTTGTCTTTAATCAGGGGTACTCCAACTGATATTGTACAGGGCGGAAACGACAAGACCCTTGAACGACTGTCCAATCACAAACGGCACATTGAGTTGTCTTCTCCAGGGTGCGACGAGCACATTCAATACTGGTTCTCCATCGACGAGCAAGTTGATCCGGCTTGATAAGGTAGGATTTTCCGGAAGTTTTCATTGATCGAATTGTCAAACTGTGTACGCCACATATGACATTGTTGCTGTCCCCTAAAACTTGCGGTAAACGGTCAAGGCAAGCAGCAGTTGGGAGCGTTGAATCAAGTCGAGTGAAAGCTGCGAGTTGGTGATACGGTGTTTGATAGTCAGCATCGATCTGTTGTCGCAGAGCTTCTTCTTGGCGCCGAGAGTCAGGATCATAAGGCTGCTAAGGAATGTCTGCAGCCATCCAAATAGGTTGAAACTCCATGATATCGCTGATCTCTTCATCTGTAGGTTGGCGACATGTAAAGTAGGAAATTGGTTTGTCAAATAGTAATGGGATCCTTGGACCCGATGTCAAAATAGCATGAGCTTCTCTGTTTCGTTGTTCAGGCCGCAATCGAATTGACGGCACGTCATTTACCACTACGTTGTTGGCACGCAGTTGATCGACACAGAGTAGATGTGATCCTAGACCAGGGATCAGAAGCACTTCACAGAAATGCAGACAGTAGGTTCAATGATCAAATGGACAGTCAAAGGCAAGACAGACATTCACAATTCGAACATCATTTATATTCAAACCATTGTGAAAACCGGTGACATTGATTGACTGGGAGGACGTTGAAAGGACGCAACATCCAGCAGGGTCAAAAGCACATGTATCTGCGTGCGAGTCCAGTTCACATCGGTTGGTAAGAGTGTTTGTAGATGATAACACTGATACCACACAAGAGTTTGGGCGAATGCTTGTGAGGGATCCAACAGATGAGGTTCCTAGTCAATTGTCTTCACGATGGTTGCGACGGCGACGACTCATTCCTGCAACTGCCCCACGCCCATCATTGTTATCTTCTTTTGTTTCTTCTTGATCAGCTCGTCCATCATGGACAGCGCTGATACCACGACCACGACCACGACCACCACAGCCTTCACGGCCTCTTCTGCCACAACCACCACCATTGCGACGGTTGCGATGCATTTCTAAACAGATATTTCTTTCTTCTTGTGTAAACTCCTCTCTCCAGATTTGATTTGAATAACCTCCATCATTTAGTAGTATACCATTGCGGCTAAAGCGATCTGGAACATTTGATTGCAGGCGGTTTGTGGCACCATTTCCTCGGCCACGACCTCCATTTCTCCCATCACCACCGCGTCCGCCACCACCACGTGTGAAAGCAGCAAGTTGTCGATTGCGGCGCTGGGTGTTGTCGTTACCTGCAGCTAAGACTTGTGTTGTTAAATAATTGATGGCACCTTGGAAATTGGATCGGAGAACGGCATCTCCTGTAATATGTGATCTTCCATTGGAAAGTGAGGAATCTCCAACAGTTTTCTTGAGAAGTACGTCAACCTTATTTGCATCAGAGCGTGGATCACCGTTCAACTTGAGGTCGTTGAAGGCTCCAATAAGGCGACTGATAAAAGTATTCCAAGTGAAGCCTCAAGCTTTACCGTTCCAGTGAAGTGTTACGAGGACACGGACAGCAGCTTGGCGTTCATTGGTGAAATGTCCCCTTCCACGATATTGTGCAAACAGAGCGAAGTAAGCAGCTCGGCCATTCAAAGTTGGAGCAAATTGACGAACGTGATTGTAGGCATCAGTTTCATGTGTGACGGCATGGAGCATAACCCAAAATTTCTGATTGTTGCGACGGAGCACAGCACCAGTGTGGGCAGCACATCGGACAAGTTCTTCTTCAATGGAGCGAGTGCCATCATCGGCTTTGAGAAAGCCAGGGTCACCAACAACTGGAAGTTCAGAATTTTCACGGAAAATATAATCAAGGCAAATTCCACGATATCCATAGGCGGTACGAGCCCAACTTTCAATGTTTTCCATCATGATTTGACCATCGCGATTGTTGAACTTTGGAGGATGAGGAGGAAGTGGGTAGGAGTCCCCTTCCATGAGATCCGGGTTTTCATCATAGAATTGACCAATAAAAAGGAGATTTTGGATAGTTCCAAGGGCTGGAGTATGAGTTCTCTGAACCAAAACGAGGAGCTTCCCATATTTGATGTCTTCACGGACTTGAGAAGTGGTTCTGTTAGCGAAGGAGTCAACAGAGTCAAGACCTTCAACATTGGTCATGTGTTGTGTGAGGACGGGTCGAATAAGGAGATCAACTTTGCACCAGTTACGAAATTGAATAACAGCAGCCATTGTGATGCGATGATGTGTTGACGATTTTTGTTGTTTTTGATGTGTTGTTTGGTTTCAGGTCGAAAAAGTGTCGGACTTGAAGTCAGAAATCACTGGAGAGAATCGCCAGAAGGCGAACGTTGGTGATATCTGGCAACTTCAAATAATTTAGCCCTAAATGTCGAAGCATCTCATATTGAGAGATGTATATAAACGTGGCACGGATGGTTGCACGCATGGCACGTCTGCCGTTTAGCCTTTCTAGCAAACAATTTAGTAAACGCTGCGACGTGATTAGCCTTCGGTGCGCATCCGAACGCCGAAATAGTGGCATGAAAAAATCACGAGATCGATACAACGATGGTGATCCTAACCATGGCTGAATGAGGCGATTTCCTCAAACAGATATTATTCAAAAGCCTTCCCAGGCTCCTCTATCCATTGTGGATTCATTGGGTCTGATAAACCGTTAATTTGAGTAGCGAGGTACGAGAGATTTGGGACGAAAACGAGTACGATGACAAACATGGGGATTTTACAAGATGTGTGCGAATCTCTAGGTTAAACTATATAAACGTACGAATGACGGACACTCTCTGGTCCAATTAACGAGAGCTCCCTCGTAGTCTCCATTCCGTTGAGTCCTCGAATCCTATGATTCGACCTCGGTGCAAACCAGTCCCTACCGGTACTGTAGCTTAGAGCATCTCCAGCCAAGGCTGGAGATGCTCTTACTGTAGTTCCTCGCTACTGTGCCAAACATACTCGCTTCTCTATGTAGCATGTAGATTACCGGTACAGTATGACACAGTTTCCATGGTAGCATGCGCGTGCGATCCCCAAGACAAGCTACATCATGCGGTCCAAGCACAGGAGTGGAGGCGGCGCCGGGTAATCTACCGGTGCGATTAATAACCGTGTGAGCGTACACTTTCAATCGGGCTAGAGTCAAAGTTTAGACTGCAGTAGTATCGTATCACATTGAGTATGCATATCGCACTTCATGTTTTCAATTTTGAATTCAGTACTGTATTCCTTTATTAGGATACTAACTTTACTATTCTTGCTTTCTTTGTCTACTTCATCGGACTTCCAAAGTCTATGGGCGACTTTATACAAGCATCGATATGATGTAACGATTGGTCGATTTCTCCATTGCAACCAAATCGAGGACTCTTTGGAGTGTTCAAAATGGCAGTGGAAAGTAGATTTTCTTACAAGTAGAGAAAGAACACAGATGAGGCAAGAGCAATTTAAGATTTCCACCGAGAGACTATGATCTACAATGAGCTTACCACGATCTTCCAACTGACTGTTCATCTTATTCCTGGTGTGAGCAGAGCCAGTAACAACTCCACTAGTAAGTTTGGATGGCGTTGCACATGCTTGGGTAAATGGTGTTTCCTGTTGAGCGAAGCAAGAAAGGAGCGTTAAAGACTGGGGGGAGATCATTTTCATCGAGGTGCCTTACATAAGGGAACTTACTGGAAGTAGTGGTTCATTCTGATCTTTGAAGTTGATGGTTTCGATCAGCTGATCTTTGAAAAATACTCTCGGGGTCTGCATTTTGACGCTTGAGGAGCAGGTCCCACTACCACTACGTAATGACGAGTTTTGCTTGATCCCTGGAGTGACTGCTGAAGAAAATGGGCCTCTTGCAGCAAGAACTTCCTGTAGCATCTTCGCGTCCTCCCCTCCCCACGACGGGGTTCCCCAATCTTGACCAGTGAACAGACTCGGAGTAAGTACATTATCGACTCGATGAGTGAGAGGCGTTGGGAGCAGAGGAGACATAGAATTTGTGCTGTTGCTTCTCATTCGGGTTTCACGGCCTTTTGGGGTTGCAACAACTGATCTCGAAGACTCTTTGACAACCTCCTCGAAAGCCATGTCTTGCACCGCCGAAAGCGTGCGTCTGTTTGGTTTCTCTGCACCCTTCGTCCGTGAAAGGGGAGATGGTTTGAGAGTATTTCTATAGGGGTGAGATATCATTCCAGCTTCTTTTGGTGGAACTGAAGAGAAAGGACTGTAAATTGGAGTGCGCATATCGGCAAGCGGGAGAACCGGAGAAGGACGAGCCCAGCGCATATGCTGTGGAGGCATGCTGTAAGAAACGTGACCAGGATAGTAACCTCCTTCTCGACCACGGTATGGTGCAAGGTTAGGAAGCTTCCGTTTGAATATCGATGGAAGTCTCTCTCGTTCCTCTGGTGTCAGGTTGAGGTTGCTGAGAGCCTCGCTCGATCCAGTGCTAGCAGTTTTCTCCGCCAGTCGGCGGCGTTCGAGCGAAGAATGATATACCCCATCAATGTATCCGCCCTTGAGAGTTTGAAAAAAGTGACTTAGCGAATCAATATCACTCTTAGTTGATCTCGGGGATGGACAAGGAAACTTGTGTTGCGAGGGATAGCGAACCGATCCATACATCGCGTCCATCATCATGTCGTAGGACCTTTTCGGCGCTGGGGCAAATGCTTGAGGTAATGGCGTCGCATAGGCCATTATTGGTCCTGAAAACTGTGGGAGAGATCGTTGCAGTCTGGAGTGAAGAGCTTCTTTTGGATTCTTGTCGTGGAAAGCCGACTGTTGAGTTGTCTTGAGACATCCTTCGATGTCATCACCAATCAGGAAACGCCCACTTTCATCCTTCACTGGTGCAGAGGTGTCTGAATTTTTCGATCGCAGGTACTTTTCAATTTTCTTCTTCATTGACGAATTCCAGTGATTCTTGATTGCATTGTCGGTTCTTCCCTTGAGCTTTCTTGCAATATCGGCCCACTTATTGCCAAACCGAAGATGACTTTCGAGGATAATTCTGTCTTCCTCCTCAGTCCATTTTTTCGACTTATTGATATCTGGGTTGAGGTGATTGTGCCACCTTTCACGACATTGCTTGCCAGTTCTGCCTGGAAGTTGACCTGCAATTTGACTCCACTTTTTAGCCCCTGAAACGACGTTCGAACGGAGAATGGTGAGTCTCATTGGTACCATACGATCACGTTGTCTCAGAGTATATCTCTTGTTCGCTAAATAAGACTTACCATAGAGACTGACCATCGAGACTATCTTTTTGTCCTCTTGTGCGGACCAAGGGCCCTTTCCAATTTGTGATGCAAGTAGAAATGAAAAACGCTCTCTGCACTGGTTTGCATTTCGCCCCTGAGGCTCAGAGCTAAAGTTGGACGCAATCTTTTCCCAGTCTTTTGTGTCGAGTGTTTCTGTGCTTCCCTTCTTTTGGCTCTTCTTCTTTGCCGAAACGAGTTGTTTGAGTTTCTTATCCTGAAGTCGAAGACGGAGGAAACGTGAGAAACCATGCATGTATGCACAGGCGCAGTAAAGCCGAATGTATCATACTCACATCCTCTGCTGTCCAAATAGCTCCTTTACATCCAATATCTTTCTCGGTCACTGATGCGATGTTCTCTTTGTCTGTTTTCTTGTTGTCTGCAGGTTTTGGTGTTCCATCTGCAGATACATTTCCACGAGATCGTGTAAGAGGCGAGGAAGACGGTGCGCCGATGTCATCAGTCATAGATTGTGTTTTAGAATTCATTGTAATATCTCCGCTGTCTTTTCTGGTCTTTGTCATCACCCTATGCACACAGATTTTGTGATTTTTGTGATAGATGCAACTCGGTTTTGGCGACGATGATATTGTGAGATTGGAATTTCAAAAATGGTTCCCCACGTACAAAACTTCGTACCAGATCCAAATTCAAATCTTCAGTACCACGGGTACTGTGTGAAAGCAGTAGAGCACGAGATTGAAATTTGAGTGCGCAATTTTCTGGACATGAAAAAGGTTTTTTCGAATCGAGTCAGTCAGTCCTAAGACTTGCAAACATTTGCAATCCGAAAAAGCCAACAGCCACAGCAGGGCCAATCCATAAAACAAAATTCGGTAACAATGACGCAAGAGGCGGAACCTGGACGAATCTATGTGGACACACAGCACGAAGATCTAGTACACGATGCTCAGCTCGACTACTACGGTTGCCGGTTGGCGACGTGTTCCTCTGGTAAGTCCCAAATTGCGCTGAGGCCATCGCTAGAATTTGATGACTAAAATCGTTTTAGATCGCACCATTAAGATATACAACGTATCCGAAACGTCCTATGAACTTTCTGCTACACTTCAAGGCCACGAAGGACCCGTATGGCAAGTCTCATGGAGCCATCCAAAATTTGGTGTTCTTCTTGCTTCTTGCTCCTTCGATGGATCTGTGTTCATACACCGGGAAATTCGGCCTCGCGATTGGTCCCTAGTGCACGTTGCCCGCCGCATTCACGACTCTTCCGTAAACAGCGTCGCTTTTGCACCTCATGAGTATGGATTGAAGGTCGCGGCAGCCAGTTCGGACGGTCGTGTTAGCATTATCTCTTGCCAGAATGACGATGACTGGTCGTTGGAGTACATTGAAGATAATGCGCTTGGAGTAAACTCTGTGTCCTGGGCTCCCAGTGGAGCCTATCATGATGAAAGCAACTCAGAGGGTACTGAAATCTCCCGGTTGGTTACTGGCGGATGCGATAACCGTATGAGGTTTTGGAAGCTTCAGGATTCGGGGCAATGGTGCGAGGACAGCCAGTCCCAAGTGTCCAAGGATCTTTGTCACAGTGATTGGGTAAGAGATGTAGCCTGGGCACCGTGCCTTGTTCCAAATATCAACATGGTTGCCTCGTGTTCGGAGGATCGCACTGTTTTGATATGGACGCAAAACGGGCGAAATGAAGAATGGAAGGCGCTACTACTTCATACTTTTGATAGCCCGGTATGGAGAGTCAGCTGGAGTGTCACCGGTCACATGCTAGCTGTCAGTAGTGGGGATAATGATGTGAGCGTTTGGAAAGCTGGAGTTGATGGTACTTGGTCTCAAATGAGCACAGTAGAAGACACTCCTGAGACGCAACATGACGGGTGATGCCCTTTTGAGCCTCTAGATATAGACAATTCTAACAACCGGCTCTGCGGATTATGATAAATGATCTGATTGGTAAAAAGTACGTAGTATCTCTTTGACAGAACATTCGTTATTTGATCACACGATTGCTTTCCGTCGTTGTGCCCAATGAATACTGATTACAACATGACGGCTTGTTGCAAGGGCGCTTATTTCTGTTCTTAACCACAGCTTGAGATTTCCTAAAGATAAGAAAGCGAGCATTCCTGTTATGTCCTGAAGTCTACTGCATGGTGTTCGATGCGGTTTATTCCTCCCTTCCCCCGGTTGCTGTAAGTTGTTAGATTTTCCAGCTAAAAAGATGATTGAATGCCGCCAGACACACACCAGAGCGAATCTTCAAGAGTGGGTACCAGTACTGTATTTTGGTGGGATCATAAAAAGCCGAGCTTACCATTTGTTCTATTTTCCGATCGTTGCTTACAACCCATGATGAGACAAATGGTGAGAAAATATTCGCATTATACTTTTGAAAAAGACCTATGGAGAAGTTGATATCCTAGCAAGGTGTTCAACCAAATGATATCTTGGATTGCAATGATGATATCGCAATTGCAAAAGCTTGAACCGCAGTAAGAGGATACTGAAAGTCCATCGTGAAAGAGTGCCGACCTTGAATTCTCCCAAATTGCAGCATGATGTAATCCTGATCATTTTTATCGCAAAGTTGAAAATTTTTTACAGATGCGACGCTGACCCGACCCCCAAAATTCAAAACGAACGAACCGAGCTCTACATTCCACCAAGGCGGTCTGTTTTGTAGCGCTAATAGGCCGAAGTCGTTCGTTGGAGCATGCCGATGTTCAGTCTCCGTCACTGGTTCCGTTTGACTGGGCTCTCGCTCGTGCTCTTCGTTGTCTGTGCGCTGTTGCATCTGCTTCAAGCGATCTATCATCCGCTGTCCACCAGTTTGTTGATCAACGTCACTAGAGACTTCATTCTGACGAAAGTCGGTGTCACAAGAGGTCCTAACCTTTGGAATGCAAACATCCATTATGCGCGGTCTACTGCCCAGTAAGTTTGCTGTGTACGTGATTGCTCCCGCTTCATCTTCCAAGGGTTGCAAACCGAAGGCTTCGTTTGTATTTGCAATCGCACGTCGATTATTTCTGCTATGCCTGTATTTCAGCTCCCCCGAAGAGCAAGATCTCCTTAAACTTCGATGCTGCTGGTTCTGTCGATTGGAAAAATCGTCAATTACTGACGCTGATTGATCCCGTTCGTCTTCGCTTGCATCACGTCTCATCGAGAGACGCCGTCGAAAGCTCTTTTTCTGTTTTAATGAAGAGGTTGGCTTTAGTTTGTTGTGCTGAGGAGAAGCACTTAATGAAAGTATGTCCTCCTGCTTTTGCTGCTGCGACAGATCGATTTGACCTGAACGCGGCGTAAATATCTGGAACTCAGTGCCGATAAAGTTACTTTGCAGGCGGCCCAGCAAAAGGTTACATGGAACGTTCTCTTCGAAAACCCCAGCACCATTCATTGCACCAAAATTTGGTGAAATCTTTCCGTTGACATCTCTGTAGTGACGGTCGAAATCTTCCTTGCTTGGGAGACAAATGAAGTAGTTGTTCGATCCTTTCTTGCTAGCAAGTTGGGGTCCAGATGTACCGGGCTGTCGACGTCCTCTAATTCTTGCAGTCATCAAAATGGTGTCCTTCCGAGGACACTCATTTTCAGCACGCGGACGATGCCGAATAAATAAACGGTACTCATAAGTCGGAAAGAATCTCCCCTTCATATCGACTCCTTTCTTTTTAGAAGAGAGTTTGATTCGTTCTATTTCGCACTGTACAATTCCGATCGCTTTTGGACAGGGCGTGGTCAGGAATTTGTGAAGCAAGGACAATCGCGGTACCGGGGTATGGCGATCGTAGTAGTGGATTCCTGAACTCTGGGTGAACAATTCATCCCAGAAATCAAGCATACACTCATCAAAACCATGGAAGTCGTTCTTTATCATGTGCCTATCCAACCGTTTCTGATACTTCGAGCAGAGGTACTGTGTTTTTCTTCTTGCTTCGGCACGATGTTTGTTTTCCTCTTTTCCCAAGAGAGTACCTGCACTGTAAACCTCTAAATCAACATTTGACAAGACGTCAGTGCAAAATCGGGGTATCACTGGTGAAATCATGGGAATCTGCGAAGAGATTGGTATGCTTCTGAGTGATTCCTCGTCATGGTGTATTTGATCAATAGGGGCTTCGTTCATAATCTCTACGTGTCGGACCAACGGATCATCGCTGTCTTCGCTCTCGAGCTCTCCGTCATCAAATTCTGCCCTACCTCGTAGAGCGTCATTCCATGCCGGCAATAGATTTTCAGTTAGCATAGTTGGTTTTGAAGGCGAACTTGCGGAGTTTTCTTTGCTTTTCGCCTTCCCCCAAACAGGACGAAATGAGAAGTGGGGGTGAAAGAAATCAGCAGATAAACTCATCATTGGGGCCATCATTGTGCCGTCATTATCATCAACGCTTTTTTTCCCTAAAAGATGCTGATCCAGAAGGTGCCTGTGCACCTGAAGTGGGACCTTTGGTGTTTGCTGTCCAAAATTTGATTGCGAGTTTGATCGCTTCAGAGTTTGAGAAACAATGGAAACCGCCGATGGCGTTGATCTTTCAGCTGAAGCGTGTGGTCCAAGAGTTACTCTATCTCGGATTCTTGAATTCGTTGTTGAGTTCATTGACACCTGTCTTCTAAACATTTGCATGCCAGGGCGGCAAGTCTTTTCAGCTTCTAATGCCAGCGTATGCAACGCCTTCTCTTCAAGATACGAATGCCTAAATTGCAAGCGCTCCCGAGATCGAAAATCAGATCGTTCAACAAAGAAACGATCAAATAGCGGAAGTTCTGCCTCAAGCCCATTTAATGTTGTCTGTGTGTCAGTTTTGCAATGCGATTCATTCGTCTCCAAGCTCATCCTCCAGATTAAGGTGTGGTAAGAATGGCCAAGCGAAATGGGATATATTGGAACACCTGCTCTAATATACAAAGCGCACAATTCTTTTGCATCCGATTGTTGGCAGACAGCCTGCATTTGACAATCGAGGGTAAGGATTTAGGAAGCGAAAGCGACGGCACATGCATGGTATGTAAGTTTACTTACCCAGGCACTCAGGACCTCAGTAGCGCAACGGAATCCATGCATTTTCACCCGTTTGAAAATTTCTCTGCAGATGCGATTCGATGCTTTGCTGCACTCCCCAAACTTTGACCATTCCGAGGGCAGTAGAAAGGAAGCCAGCCAATGCAAAGAGTCTATTGGGAGTGTGATTATTGACTGGTGCTGATTTACTTCAACGGTGGATTCAGCCGGTAGTACGGATCTTATACGTCTTCCGTTTACATCAGCAGTCTCTTCATTTCCACTGCGAAGGTCTTCTTTCGTCTCTCGTGCCAGTTCGTCTCGATCTCCATCAGTTGATTGATTTTGAGATTGAACTCCACTACTAACTATCAAAGTTTCCTTCTCGGTTGGTGGGATTTTTCCAATTCCGACGTTGTCCTCGAGATTGTCGAATTCAATTGCAATTTTTGAAATCATGGGTGTGCTGAGCAAACTTTGGCTGATAGCAGTTGTTTTTAAAGGAACAGATTGTCGACTCATTCCAACATCCGATTGCGCTTCCTTTTGGTTCGATTCCTCTGATGCTAGATCTCGAGCAACACTAGTGTATTCTTGCCTAATGCTATTGTTGTCTTCTGTAGCTTCAGTCATTCCTGAGCCTGGAAATATCTGTTGCTTTGAAGAAGAATTATTCATCTTAGGTTCACTGCGTTTTCACATTCAACATCGGGCTACTGTAGTTCCTCAAAACAGTAAGTACAGAAAGTACGACAAAACCTTGACATGATCCATTTTTTGAAGTCCCGTCAGTCGACAACTCCATAAAATGTAACAAAAGGATACCAGAACAAGGTAGGACGTACAGTACCAGGTACCAGGTACCAATGCCACACAGTAGGTAGGATACAGCCAATTTTACTAGTCTAGTGAATTCCCAAAGTTGCATTACTCTCATCGAAAAGAATAACACACGGGATTCAAGTCTACTGCAAGACGGGGTAATTTTCCGAAATAGGTGACAGGGGGGCAGACGGGCGTATAGGACTCTCTCGTGCCTCCCGTTTGTGCCCGCTCGCTGGAAAGATGGACCGTTAAAATAGTGGGATGAAATTGTAACAAAATAGACCTCGCAAGAGGCAAGCAGGCCAACTATCCGGCACTAGCCAACGGATGGCTTATCGCCAGTCGAGTCCACGATTCAAGAGAGATTGACCACAACAGCTTCGGTGCTGAAACGTCGAAGCCATTTCAGCACGGTGCTGAAACCACACTTCCGAGTCTGAAACCAGCTTACGGTGCTGAAACCAGCTTCCGGTGCTGAAACCAGCTTACGGATCCAAGCAGTATCCCCCAAATCTTCCCCTTCTGTAACGTATCTCTTCTTCGTCAACAATGAGAATTGAAGTTTCAGAAGAAGTCTCCTTCCACCTTGGGCTCCTACTCTCTCTTCATACTCCAACACAAATCAGTCACACCTGCGAGGAAACGAATGAATAGAGATTCAAGGGCGCCTACTTTGCAACTGCAAAATCAGTCCACGATATCTTCTTGGGCATTCGATCCTAATATCGGCTGCAAAAGGATAAAGAACACAAAGCCTACTCACCTCCTGTTGGCTTTGCGTTTCTTGAAGTAGTAGCCCACAAAAGAACATTGGCTGGTTTTGGAGATGTGACCGAGAAAACTGTATTACTTCCAGGTGCTCGGAATGCCGTTTCGCACTGTTGGAGGCAAAGTCTTTGGAAGCACAAGACAGTTTTGCTGGAGGCATCATGCCTTCTAATCATCCAGTTCGAATTGGATAATGAAAGTCGCCTAAACCACGATACTATATTTAAGTTATTCCTATCACTTCCTTCTTAGTAGTATTTCAAATATCCTGTTGTTGCAGTGTATTGCAACGAATCAAGAACGTATAAGAAACTAGATGTAGGATGTCGACTGTTGTCGTCTACAGTGCGAGCGGTATTTTTGAAATATAAGTATATGGTGCAATTCAAGTATTTTGAAACAGATAAAAATGGTGCCAGTATTTTTAATTTTATAACAATATGGTGAGAAATGCGCGAAGCATTTATATATATATATATATAAGAATATATATATATATATATAAATCAGAATATATATAAATATTGAAATATGGTTCATGTTGCTGAACGCAGAAGCTTAAAAATATATTTATTCGCGTACGTGAGGTGCTGGAGCTCTCCAATAGCTGTAGATTTCTTGGATTGAATTTTGTGATGGCTTGAATCAGCATCTCGTTTTTGCTTCATAGCTAGAAACAGCTTGTTTTGCAAGTCTCCTCCCCCAAAATAGTTTGAATGTTAGGGATTTTCCTTCCCCTGCTGAAACGTTTTGGCCTATGCTGAAAAGAAATGGTTTCAGACTCCGAATGCTGAAAAGAGACTCCGAATGCTGGAATCTGACACCAAATTGACGCTGATGCTGAAATGAAATGTAGTAGTCGGGGATTCCAGATTCCAGGAATGATCATCCTTGATCGACAACGAGAATGTCAAGCTGGAACAGCGATGCTGACTCGAGTTGAGATTGACGACGAGCTTTTTTGACAAGCGCCAGGTCAAAAACCGTTAAAATATTCGAGAACCGAATATTCATTTCCAACCCGCTGGAGAACCAGGAATCCCGTCTTTCCCTTGCCACTATATCAGAAAATTACCCCGTCTTGCTGCAATAATGCAACATCGAAAATACGGTACCAGTACGCTGTACCAAAACGACACACACAATGACGGACATGAGACCAGGGGTTCCAAAAATATCATTTTTAGGAATTGCAATTGTTTGGGATTCCCAATTCTTCTATTGATCCAAATTCAATTTAGTCGGAAATTGCAGGTTTTCTTTAGATCTCTGCAATTATTCTATTGTAATTGCTGACCAGCTATTTGCAATTCATTGTCATTGCTGTTATCTATTTGCAATTAATTTCTATTGGACATTGATTATGATTCACTATTTGCAATTAATTGCAGCTGAACGCTGACACAATTTCAATTATTGCTGGCAGCTACAGCACCTAAAATTGACTGAGCTTGGTCAGTTTTCTTGTTGGTGCTGGATGCCATGTCTATTCCTTCTCCTACTAAAGAAACGTTGTTATACCAAAACTGTTCATTATACTTGAGCATCATGATGGCTTCGAAGAGCTTTGGCACCATTTGTGAGCGGTTTGGGGCCAAGAGGTTCCCAGCAATAGACCATTGCCTCTCAACTTCTGATGCTGAACCGGACAAAGTCAGCGTTGATATATTCGTCTCCTTGGTCTCTTGATATGTGAGTGAATGATCTCTTGCTCCCTACAGCCGAGGATCTTTCTTGCTCCGCCCCGCGCTTGTGCATTTCATCTCCTCCTCAATTTGTCTTTCCACCAGATATGACAGCATCAAGATAGTGTCCCTCACAAGATCAGGGCCAAACTTGAACTGCTTGTCGCCATATACCAACTTCCTGAATAGGTCATCTATAACACACGAGAGAGCAAGATTCTTGAACACAATAAGCTCAATCCAAGTATGCATGACATCGTCTTTGGGACCAGACACCCGAAGACCTAGTGGTGGTGCATCATCTTTTTCGACTGGAAGAAAAGGAAGCTGCCTCTGATTGCTTTTTCCTGCCTTCGCCAAAGCTAAAGCTTTCAATGTTGGTGCGTCTGCACCGGCAATACAAATAAGTATATGGCTGTATGGATTTGTCCACCCAGCAACTTTTAGCCATGTCATCTTTGTACCACAGACAACTGACAACTGACAACCAACAAGTTTCGACTACAGTAGTACAAAAACGCTTGTCTTATTTAAAATTGCAATTACTGAAAAATTGGTATTGGTGCACTCTCTTAATTAATTAATTGCAATTGACTAGTCGAAATCCTTAATTAATTGTCATTGGTAGAATAATTTTGCAATTAATTGTGGTTCGAATGACCTAGCAATAAATATATTGCAATTACTTATTGCAATTAATTGCAATGGCAATTCTATTTTTGGAACCCCTGCATGAGACAGTACCATGGTACCACCAGGTGGAGGCGGACTGACTGACTCGTTCGACTGCAAGAAACGAATTTCGCACGACTTCAATAATTTCATTGCAGTACTGGTAGTTTACCAGCCACTTTAGCCAGCACCAAACAATAAAACGCTGTTGCCCACACTCGAGTGCTGAATACTGCATCTCATCTCCATACTAAGGTTAGGGTTCGAGTAGAAGGAGAAATGGATGAATTTGTTGAAGCATTCCCAAAGTATATCGTTCGGGCCAACGAAACTGGACCTGGATTCTATATTTTCGTTTTGGGGTATTCTCTTTTTTCTTTCCTATGCGTGTTTCCTTTGGTCAGATGGAGCAAAATGACTCGAAAGGCTGGGTTACAGCATTTGGATGCGGCAAATTCAAGTTGCGATGCAGAAGATCAAAGGAAATGCGCTAGCCCCGCTGAACACAACAAAGTTGTCGAAGATAGATCAGAAGCCCAGTCTGTTTCTTCCAAGATTAGGCTACGAATGCCTTCTCGAGAATCATCTTTCAACAGTCAATCAAAAAACGGAGGAATAGCAATTCTACTTCGAGTTGCAGAGGCCGAATATCCAGACAGTGACCCAGATTTCAAATCCAGGCTAGCTGCTTCGGCAATGCGTACGAACGGCAATCGTCCTTCTTCCCGGGTTTCAAACAATCCTTCAAGCTCAGCCCCAAGTGCAGCAACAACTTCCAAGCTTAATGTTAGGAGATCTTCTAGGAGACCGCCTTCAGGAATCTTCGATGTTGGTGGCAGGCGATGGAGGCATCGAAGGCCGATCGGTCGAGCGGATGTCATTCGCAATGCAATCTACAGTGAAGCAGGGTCCGTCCTATCCAGCAAAGAACGCACGGTGACTTCTGGTCAAAAGAGACCAGGATTGAGCGATGTTGCAAGCTCTGTGTTGGAGGAAGAGAATCCAAATGTTCTCCCAGGGTTTGTGAACAGAACAGGATTCAATCAACAGCAACGTTTTCGAGTTGGTGGTTACTCTGTAGCAAGCTCGCGTTCTGTAATGTCCTCGATTGTTGATGATATTACACCCAACGATGCAGCAGATGCCGATGATCCAGGGAGGGGAAATATATTTCTACAGGTCCATCACCAGCAAGAAAAGAAGCGAAATTCACAAATGCTAGACCGTCGAAGCTCATCTTGGTTCCTTTCGATGTTGGATCTGGCAAAACCGACGGACGAGTCTAGACGTGTACTCCAGACAGCCGTACCTCTTTCGATTGGTGCAACATCGGAGGCTGTATTTCGTTTGGTCACGGCTTCTTTCATCTCGCAATACCTTGGTGCTGAATCCATGATTGCGTATCTCTTGGTAATGTTGTTTGTTCGTTTGACCAGTGAGGAACTCTCGGGTGCCGTAGTTGATGCCTTATCATCATTCATAGAATCATCATTGTTCTCAAGGGATGAGAACGCCGCTTTCATGTCAGGGCAATACATGCAAACCGCTATCATTCTGCAACTGATCCTTGGTATTCCATTGTTGGCAGCGTGGACTATGTCAATGAATACAGTGGTCGGATGGCTTGTTCAGTCAGCCTCGATAGCATCCATAGCGGAAGAATACACACGGATTGCTGTCTTTGGCTACGTATTCCAGTCAGTCAGTAGATCCTTTACGGGTTAGTTGACAGAATGTGTTTTGCACCATTGGTGATTTCGATTGTCATGTTCTCACACCTCTGAACCAAAATTCAGCCGTATTTCACATTTGCGGACATGAACACTTTGAGTCTGTCATTGATTTTGTTGCATCTACGCTACAAATGATTGCCATTGCGTGCGTCGTAGCATTGAAACGGAATTCAAATTTGACGACTGTGGCACACATTCAGGTACTTGTGGGTTTCTGTGCGTGTGTCGCGAAATTGGGATATCCAATCTTCAAAGGTTGGGAGAAGCCTTTTCGAGGCGGATTTGTCCGGAATTTTGCTCTACTACAGGTGCGTGAAAAGTGTAGCTCTATTTTTTGCCCGTGTTAGAATCCATTGCTTACGACACGGCCATTTAGAACCCCATGATGTTTTGGTATTTGCTTCGTGCTGTATTCCCTTTACTTATCGGGACAGTGTTAGAATATGGCGAGTGGGAAGTATTGACAATTGTCTTGCGGTACCTTGGTCCTGCTGAAGGTGCGTGTATGTGCAGTTCAATGGTGTAGATAGACTGTGCGACTAAAGTACATCGCTTGGGATATTAGTTGCGACTTGGTGTTTGCTCGGTGCTGTGTGGGACGTTCTGGAGGCTTTTACAGAAGGTATTGGAGAGGCAGCAGCCACCCAGGTTGCATTCCTGTTGGCTGCGGCACAACCAAAACGAGCGAGGAAACTGTCATTCTCCATTCTCTATCTCGGTCTTGTTCAATCGCTTCTGATTACTTCTGGTTTGTTCATGAGTGGCAGGCGTCTAGCAATGTTATTGACGACAGACAACACAATGCAGCATATGGTGAATGATGCGATGACGCTACTCGGATTTGCAAACGTTGCAATGTCATTCTCTCAAGTTGGCTGGAGCTTGATTGGCGCACAAGGTCGATTTCGACTCGCAACATCAGTCATGTTCTTTAGCCGTTGGCTTGTTACAATTCCGGTCGCGTTGGTAACCATCTTCGTCTTCTTTCTGGATTTGAGTTCCATAGGCGGGTGCCTAATTGTCGGCTACTCCACGGCATCCTGTGTACTCACTTTTATTGTAATCCGCAGTGATTGGGATCGACTAGCTAATTTGTTGCAACAAATGAATAACCCTTCTGAGAAGGAAGATTTGGACTTTGAATTTGATGACAGCGACGATTCTAGTGATGGTTTTGGTGATATGAATAGTAATAATAGCGACGAACAAGCTAACGAGGCGGCGCAACAAACAGCAGGTTAGGGGGCAAAAGATAAAAAGACCCTGCACTTTATGCTGCTCGAAGCTGTGGCTCGCATCATTGTTGAATCTATCAACCACTTGATCGGTCGAAAAATGATCGGTTCCCAAAGCATTCAAGGTGGCTCTTAGGACTATAGCGATTATCTAGAGATATTATCTCGAGAATTATCGGTTCTGCTGGGACAAGCACTGCAGCTTTTGCATTTACTTCATGATTGGAACTGGACCTCTAAAACCAAATCCCACCTACGATTTGCTGCGATACGCAGCAAACTCTCTTCATTCGACAGAAATAAAGATAAACCGCAACATGACAAAATTCACTGTTTCACGATTCGTCTTCAGACGACGATTGGATGGGGAGCAAGAATTTCGTTTGATCAAACTTGGGTTGCTACTCTTCATGCAATTCTTATCTTGGCTCTCGTGCATCTTGGTCGGTCGGAGCCGCTCCAAACATAGCCAGAAGAGTATCATCAGAGACTGTATCGTTTCGGTTTGAGACAGGGAATGTATTTGGTGCTGACAAGTTGTAGTTCGTGGCAAGATTGTTGCGAGTGGCGCCGTCGATTCTTTCAGTTGAAATATTATTGCCAACGTCAGTCTCTTCTTCGTCAAGTCCATAAAAGTTCCCCTCATCAAAATCATTGGATACAAAAGTCATATCTGACGATTTCCCTATCGTTTGATCCATCGTATTGGTTCCATCATTAACCACTCTGGCTGACAAATGATCAGAAACATTTGCTTCGGCCTCGTATTCTGGCAGCCCAGAGGTGGCTGTAGGTCGTTGTTTTTGGGGAATAGATGTTATGTTTCCTTCCAAAGAGTTCCGATGATTTGCGGCATACTTGTCGCGTTGTGCTCTCTCATTCTCTTCTGGGGAAGCGTGCGAAAAGACATCGTGCCCAGGAGGCAATCTACTGGAGTACTTCGTTTTTGCAACACTCCTATTGGGGTTTTCGCATTCATAGTGATTTCTTGTCGACTTCAGTTGTTGAGATTGACGCAAATGAGCATCTGCAGGTTGTACATTATAGTTGGATGTTGTTGCTTCTCTACGATGCATTCGTGCTAGTTCTCCAGGCTGCAGCAACCGCTTCCGTTTTCTCTGGAAACTACTGGTTCCTTCTTGACTATTTGAGCTTGAAGGTATGAATGGCGGTGGAATCTTGAACTTTTTTTTAATCGAATATGACATTTTTCGGGCTGCGAACTTCGGTTTTGAAGTGAACATAGATGGTGGGCGCCACTCCCCTTCGACCTCGATTAGGAACTTTTCACCTTCTAGCATCATCTCCCTATTTGTCAGCAGCACTTGCATTTGATCCTTGCTCAGTTCGCACTGATCCAAGACGGGATCACTGGAGCCAGGAACTGGATTGGCATCGTGCAAGAGAGCATTTGATTGCAGCACAACAAGTCTTCCGTCATTCCACACTTTGCGTTTTTGGTTTTTATGCTTAGTGTACAAACATGCAAACTCTGTTTTATTGCCTAGCTGTTGCATGGCAACACCTACATGTACTGGTAATGTGTCACTTTTTCTTTTTTTAAATCAGTTGAAAATGAGCCACACTTCGCGCCAAAAAAAGCCCGTGTGCATATCGAGCTCTTTCTCAGCTTGATGGCGTTAAATTGAGTAGCGAGGTACACGTGTACGAGAGATTCGGTACGAAAACGAGTACGATGACAAACATGGGGATTTTACGAGATGTGTGCGAATCTCTAGGTTAAACTATCTAACGTACGAATGACGGACACTCTCTGGTCCAATTAACGGTTAAATTGAGTAGCGAGGTACGAGAGATTTGGGACGAAAACAATTACGATGACAAACATGGGGATTTTACAAGATGTGTGCGAATCTCTAGAGGTTAAAACTATCTAAACGTACGAATGACGGACACTCTCTGGTCCAATTAACGGTCCCCTCAAGGTGATACTGATGTATCAGAGAACCTTGTACTCCGAATTGGGCTAATATCAACCGTACCCCCTCTTGGGAGGACGTATCATCCAATACTGTCCAAGACTGACAATATCCGGCGACGGATGAAGACGCTTCCAAAAATTAAATCAAAAGAGCAAGTTTCCCATTATGCCTTGCTTTCCACATGATATGTTCCATAAGACGGTCACGAACGGTTCCAGGTTGGATCTTGGTTAAAACGTCGGCCAGGTTCTCAGCGGAAATTATCCATTCAATTTGTAGGATATCAATGGCGCATCTGGAGCGAACGTAGTGGTATGCGACAGCGTTCGATTTCTTCTTCAATTGAGATTCAGGAACACTTGAGTTCTTGACAACAGACATCACATTGTCGACACAAGTATGACAATAACCTTGGATTGGGACGCCCATCATTCTGAGCTTGAATCGTAGTCCCTCAAGTAATTCAACACCTGTCTTTAGAGCAGCAAATTCAGAACCAAAACTGCTTGTCTCGACACTGTTTTGCTTTTTCGAATACCAGATAATAGGAGCTTTGTTAACAAAGATCAATACTCCTGTTCTTGATTGACGAGTAACAACGTTAGCAGCATGAGATGCATCAACAAACATAGTTAACTCTACCGCTTTGCCAAGAGGTGTAGGCATGTCACTTGGGAGTTCATCCTTAGTGAATTCATAGAACTGTGAGTAGTCAGCTTTCTTTAATGGTCTCAGATGATCAGCATAACCACAATCCATCACAAGTACACAATCAGGATGCTTCTGTAAATAGGCAAAAATATGTGAGGCAGCATGGGAATGACCTTCACGAGGCATTGCATTGTAAGACGAGAGCATAGACACTTCGGCGGCGACATCAATACAACCAAGTTCCACAAGCCAGCGCAGAATACCGATGAGTTGCATGTAGAAAATAGCAGTATCATCATCGACAAAGACAGTAGAATCAAGTTCCGGCTTGTGTCCAGTGGGTAAAGTTGGGTAAACCTTTTTCTTCAAAGTCAGTTGCATTGGGGCAATTTGTTTCTTGACAACTATTAGCGGCTCTTGGGGGTACACTTCAGATCCAATAGCCCAGGTGAAATAATCATCACCATCCAACTTGTGCTTCGAGATTGTTGCACCAATATATGTGGTTGGCTCTTTTATCAAGTCAGGCTTTAAAACAAAGAAATTGTTGAGTTTGTCCATAATCGCTTTTGGATTCTCCGAGATTGCAATGACATCATCAGTATAAACTAAAATATACTCATAATACTTCAAATCACTTTTCGTTGACAAGGACGACACCAAACATCCATATCTCCACGACATGGTTGGAACTCCAATTGTTCCTTCAAAACGTCCGCACAGAGGCTCCTCCATGCGAATCCCAAACTTTTGAGTCCGTAAACGGCCTTAACCAGGATAGCTTTCTTCCCGGCATATTCTCCAAACTCCTTCCCTAAAATACAATAAACTTTCTTGGCACATTTGGCATTCAGATATGCACCGGAGACGTCAGCACTCAAAACATTCAAACCATTCAAAGCAGCAATAACAAAAGCAAGTCGAATACTTTCCCTTGTCGCAACACTTGCATAGGTGACAGACATTGGAGGGCCCGTTTGGTCCCCTCTAGCACATATTCGTGCCTTCCGCGTGAGATCCATCTTGACATTGAAAACAGTCATAAGCTCAATGAGCTGGTACCCAACGGGAACATCTTCATCATCTTCCAGAATCTTCAAAGCTGGTAGGATTGTCTTCACTTCTTTAATCAAGGCATCACTCCAATGTGAGGTACCATTCTCAGCATCAAGTTCATACGCACGTGCAACACCTTTGGGCCCAGGACCAGGCACCTCAATACCAAACTTTTCTGCCTTCTGTCTTTTCACAGCACGGCGCTTGACAGCTTTCAAAACTCGATCACGCTTTCTCAGAGTGTAGGGAACCCACCACGCAAAGGCAGGCTCTGACACAAGCTTGTTTGCAACAGAGTATTCAGCGACCTCGATAGGAAACGCTTCTTTTGCTACTGATAGATCAAGCCATTCTGTTTCTCCACCTTTCATCTCAGCTAATAATTTCCATCCTTTGGTTGTCTTTCGTGGACACTTGAGACCGCTAGAGGTAGTATACCATCCGTCGTCCCCTTTAACTGCTTGTCCATCACGTTGATGATCAATAAATTTGGGAATCCGGTACATTGTGTTACCTTCATCATCGACATTCATCATTATCCCTTCAATAATCTGATTTGCATAGAAGCTTTCCACTTTTCCATCCTCGAACTCCACTTGATAGATAGATGTGCCAAGGTGTGGATTCTCATGGTAGTGACCAATCAGTTTTCCAGATGAGTCACGCTTCCGACCCTGAACAACTCCAAAAGTCTCAACTCCATCCGCATTAAACGATACCTTTGCAGAGACATACTTGTTGAACTCAACAGGATCTGATTCTTGATCCGGCGGCTCTTTGAAATCATCTTCAATCTTGTGGCGAGGATCTTCTTGTGGGTGATCTTCATATTGTGCATACTGCGCGTAACCACCATCTTCGATTGCAGAGATTGGCATGTTGTACTTATGCCAAATGTGATCAAGTTCTTCTTCAGAGATAGAAACTCCATCAGACTTCTTCTTCAGATTCTTCTTCAGGTCTTCCATAAATTCTTTCTTCTTCTCTTCCATTGGTTCACTGTTTCGTTCTTTGGCTGATAAGGGAATCACTGACAATCGCTGTAGTACTTGTCCATTGGCAATAGCAACAGCAAAACAAAGAGCTGCTTCAATTGTCAAACTGTGTACGCCACAGGTGAAATGTCCCCTTCCACGATATTGTGCAAACAGAGCAAAGTAAGCAGCTCGGCCATTCAAAGTTGGAGCAAATTGACGAACAAGATTGTAGACATCGGTTTCATGTGTGACGGCATGGAGCATAACCCAAAATTTCTGGTTGTTGCGACGGAACACAGCGCCAGTATGAGTAGCTTGTCGGACGAGTTCTTCCTCGATAGAGCGAGTGCCATCATTGTTTTCACGGAAAATATAATCAAGGCAAATTCCACGGTAGCCATGGGCAGTACAAGCTCAACTTTTGATATTTTCCATCATGATTTGACCATCGCGATTGTTGAACTTTGGAGGATGTGGAGGAAGTGGGTAGGAGTCCCCTTCCATGAGATCCGGATTTTCATCATAGAATTGACCAATAAAAAGGAGATGGTTCCAAGGGCTGGAGTATGAGTTCTCTGAACCAAAATGAGGAGCTTCCCATATTTGGAGATACGATGAATAGTCATCTCTTCGCAAACGGTAACTCCAATGGTCGCATTTGCATTGTTGGGATCAGGGGCTCTTCGCATAGATTTGATGTCTTTACGAACTTGAGAAGTGGTTCTGTTGGCGAAGGAATCAACAGAGTCAAGGCCTTCAACATCGGTCATGTTTTGCATGAGAACGGGCCGAATAAGGAGATCGACTTCGCACCACTTACAAAATTGAATAACAGCAGCCATTGTGATGTGATGATGTGTTGACGATTTTTTTTGGTTTTTGATGTGTTGTTTGGTTTCAGGTCAAAAAGTGTCGGACTTGAAGTTGGAAATCACTGGAGAAAATCGCCAGAAGGCGAACGTTGGTGATATCTGGGAACTTCAAATAATTTAGCCCTAAATGTCGAAGCATCTCATATTGAGAGCTGTATATAAACGTGGCACCGATGGTTGCACGCATGGCAAGTCTGCCGTTTAGCCTTCGCTGGCGAACAATTTAGTAAACGCTGCGATGTGATTAGCATCCAAACGCCAAAATTGTGGCATGGAAAAAAAATCACGAGATCGATACGACGATGGTGATCCTAACCATGGCTGAATGAGGCAAGTTCCTCAAACAGATATTATTCGAAAGCCTTCCCAGGCTCCTCTATCCATTGTGGATTGCTTGGGTCTGATAAATCGTTAAATTGAGTAGCGAGGTACGAGAGATTCGGGACGAAAACGAGTACGATGACAAACATGGGGATTTTACAAGATGTGTGTGAATCTCTAGGTTAAACTATCTAAACGTACAAATGACGGACACTCCTCTCTGGTCCAATTAACGATGGCGTCCATGCATGAGCTCACCATTACAAATGGTGGTGTTTGTGCAACCACTGTCCATGATGACGTGATCGTACAATCCGAATGGATCTCTTTGTTGTTTGCGGCTTTGGATAAACTGCATACCTCGATCTACTTCAGTAGCACGATCTGGCAATTCTTCATTTTCACTAGCATAGCGCCAGTCGGCTTGAAGTTCGACATTCGTCGTACCAGCAGGACATGGAATAAGATAGACATCATTGCCATTCTCATCCTTTCCCTTGATAGCATATAGAAAACGAAAAACGAAAAACAAAAAGCACTGAACTGATCGGAACTTGCAAACGGTCTTCGTAGCCTAAGTACTAGAGTCTACGTAGAACGTGCTGAAGTTTTTATCAATTCAACGGCATTTCACTGTTTTACAATGGGGAAGTCTACATCACTGAAGGTTGT